TCATCGCATTATTTACTGCCATCTGTCATGCGAGCCACACATTAAAGCTTGGCGAGCCGCATGAGGCTTGCGAGCCGCGCAATGAGTAACACTGGCTTACACAAACAAAAAAAATCACAAACATGACACTTAAATTAAATAATTTTATATATACTGATTTATTCATTATTGTGTAATATGTTATTTTTTTAAACAAATTATGAGCGCTAAAAGATTTTCAGAATTTTTACAACTCTTTTGCTTTAGACCATTTACAAATGTTAAATCATAAAATAAAATGCTAAGGTTACCACTGCATCTTTCTGAAAAAAAAAATGCAGTGATTAATATATAGTTTATTTATAGTTATTTTCAAATCTTCAATGTACTGTCATTATAAAATAACTTTATTATTGTTTATTTAATTCTAACAAATAAGTTCTTGTTAAAAACTAACCAAAATTTAAAATAATTATATATCGGTATCAGCATCGGCTATCGGCCAAAATGAGTTGAAAATTATCGGCATATCGGATATCGACAAAAATCCAATATCGTGCATCCCTAGGTTTAATGTTGTGGCTGTTCAGTCTACGTATATATGTTTGTGTTCCTTGTTTTTAGATGACTTCTTTAAGGGCAGACAACAACACATAAAGACGAATGTTTGGGCTAATGTAATGATGTGCTGATGTGAGTCAGCCTGTAGATGTTTATATAGAATATTTCAATCTTTTCCGCTTGTAAATTGATTAGGGAGATGCATAAAGATCTTTGTATATTATAGCATTTTCTGGATTTAATCTAATCACCAGAACATTGCACAGGTGCCTTTCACTGTTATCGTGGCACGCATACTGTGAGAAAACTAATTTTACATAAAACAAAAAAAAGTCTTGGCAGGACTGGAGAGCGGTGTGAATGAGAGAACCATGAGATAATGACCATGCTGGCTATTAAAGTGATGTGCCTTCCTCAGGCAAGGTGAATCGGACTCATAACCCGCCAATAACAACCAGCAGTGTTTCCTACGGAAGGTCTGTTCTTAATATTCATGTACAGTACTGTATGTGGAGTTTTGGTTAAAGAACAATGGATAGGGAAAATGATTTTAAAATAGCATATCTTGAACACTCCTACACAATGGCCAATACAACGCTATATAAACAAAGATAATGAGCATAGTACAGACTTACATGCATCTTAAAAATGTAGTTCCTTTTTGCTCGGTTTGTAATATTAGCTGACACACTGGGAATGAATAATGATATGAATGAATAGATATCTCATGATTTTGGTCATTCTGCGGTTGAGCGTCAGAGACAGTTGTGCTATTTGCTCAGGGCAGAGGTATTTGCGCGGAGGAAAATGTCACATGGACAAGTAAATCTATTTTGTGACATGCTTCTCTTTCGTCTTCCTCCCTGGAATATGGTGAACTTTGTTTTAGGATTGAACAACGATTTGCAGGTCTCTCAGTAATATGTCTTTGCCACGATCCTGATATACGATTCATCTGATTTCTGCTGTTTCAGCTCCCCAGATTTACCTCAGAAAATCAGAGCCTGTTTTCCTTCGTCTAAGCCGATACTGGATGCTCCTTTGTGGTGATTGCAAGTCAAACAGTTCTTTGTGCTTTCTGTGTCAAAATTATGACCATCATAGTTTCAAAACTAATAATGCCACATACATTTCCAACACAAGGTTCTATAAAGGGAATTATAGTGCTGTGACAGCAGTGACGCTCGACAAGTAATGGATTGGGACGCTCATAAAGGCATAGTCATAAATTATCGAAATAGCTTTGGAAAATCCTTAGCTCTTTGGCTTATTCCACAATGATTTACCCTGAAAGTGTAACTATAATGACACACCAGTAAGTCCTTCTTTGACTTTTCACTTTCAGTGAATTAAAGACTTGATCAGTTATTTTTAAACTGTGTTATCGGCTAGTACAGGCCAGATCTTTGAGCCTTGGCATACTTCTGGTTTTTGCATTGCTGACCTTGTCATTTAGCTGACACTTTTATCCAAACATCCAGTCCGTTTATTTGATGGTCAATCCCCCTGATGTCCTGAGGTTAATAGTTTTGCTCAAGGACGTAATGATGATGGCTCTTGGCAGGGTTCTGAACCTACACCTTTTGGTTGTTAGCCAAGACTTTAACCACTAAGCTACACATCCCTTGTGCATAGTCTTTTTATAAGTTCTCGTTCTCTTTCTCTTGCTGAACTGTATTCAGGGGAAAACAACCACAGACCTTTAGTACAATATGATATTATAGCCCTATTTGAGTTTTCAGTAGCCAATCAAAATTGTCAGTAAGTTTTTCATTAAATTGATCAAAAGCGACAGTAGAGACATTTAGAATGTTACAAAATATGTATATTTCGATTTCAAATACTTTTCTTTTGAAGTTTTGATTGATCAAAGAATGAAAACAAATGTATCAGTTTCCACAAAAAATATTACTAATATTATTCCACCACTGTTTTTAATGTTTTTTGAGCACCAAATTAGTCATCGCAGAAATAATTACATTTTAAAATTTATTTACAGTCATTTTAAATGTTAATAATATTTCACTACTTTTTCATCAAATAAACACAGCCTTCACCAAGAATACCAATATTCACCAGTAACAAACTTTTAAATGGTAGTGATCATAATTAATGAACTTTACACAGTCATTGAACTGAGCCAAATCAAAACTGAACTGACTTGAGCTGAATAATGACATTATTGGCTTTTTAGAGTTGATTTACAGCAGAACTTCAATTTGCCTCATGTTTGATGAAGTTTGGATCATGATAGTCATTTTCCTTAATACTGTGAAGCTGCTTTGAAAGAATTTGTATTGTCTAAAGTGACAAATAAAATGACTTGACTAGAACAGAGTACTCATTATTGACTTCAGATGTCTCTGTGTCTTAAACTCAACTGACATAGTTGATTGGAAGTTTATATTCAATCCCTGAATGTTTTCATTCAATGAAACCGATGTTTTAGCACTCGGTTCTCAAGAGAAACGTCTCAGGTTACTTATGTAACCATGGTTCCCTGAGTAGGGCTTTATTGTCCTAAATTATTAATTGCTTGTTTTCTATCTGTCCCCGTAATGCGATGCAGATGACGGTAATTATGCCGGTCTGACACTGTAATGTCAACTGTAATTGGGTACTTCTGCTATCCACCAACAGGTAGAGAAGGAACGCATGACAGGGTGTACTCTGGGTAATGGGGACTGTCTGGTGAGAATGAGAAACATAGAAGACGTTGATCTCAGTTTGGACAGCCATCTGTGCGAGATGCATTTCTGTTTGATAGTCCTGGTCAAAAGACTGATTTGGAGACAAACAGCTGAATATTGTTTAAACATGGCAGATGCTCATTAGAATCAGACATCAGCTGTCTCTACCCTCCTCACATATGAACACCTCCTCTCTCCATCCAGGGTTAGTGATTGAGTGAATGGCTGAAAGCAAATATAGTGGATGAGTTTTCATATTGAATACACCAAACTGCCGCTATCAGTCACGTCTGCTGGGGCTCTTCAGGGACAGTTTGTGTCTGGAAGCTGTCTTTGCATATGCCGTATCATTTTTTGCCATTCATCACTGGGATATTTGTCCAGTTTGGCATACCCTGTTGTCTCCATTTGTCTGAGACAGAACAATAGCATGGAAGCAGATTTTTGTACAGTTTGGAACTTGCAGTAACTTTTTGAATTGTTTCACTGCTCATTTGCATACAGTTGCACTTTGTCTTCTGAACTGTCTGAACTGTCGCTCATTGCCTCGTTATGATTTTCATTCGCTTATATGCTATAAGACAGTGTGAACACCAGTTTACACCTAAAGAAAGGAGACCAGAGTACACCACACATTAGGAATGTACATTTTTAGGAATTTCCATGGTTGATTTTTTTATTTTTTTATTTTATAAATTGCTGAACATGTACCAGATACCGTATGCAACTTGTTTTTATGGGCATGTAGATATTGCAATTTCATTATCTTATTACATTTTCAAATTGTGTGTGTGTCTGTGTGTACACATACATTTTGTTATACAGTGTATAATAGTATTATTATGTGATTAATCGCGATTAATTACAGAAAATGTGTGATTAATTTGTTAATATTTAATTGATTGACAGCACTAATTATTATATCTAATATATTATAATTAATTATAATTAGATTTATTTATATTGATTCACATTTAATATAAAATATGTAAAACAAAAATAAAATGATATATTGTGTATAACTATTTATAATTTTTTGAAAATTTCCAACATCTTTCATTCTCTGTTTTTGAATAACTCTGCTTTTCAGCAAATGTAAAACATCGCTTTTGTCTTTTTTGATTTTATAATAACACACAGCCACACTGGGCTTGTTGCCATTTACCTCTATAGTTTTTGCAGTGAACATAATCATTATTTATAGAGATGCACTGTTAAATATATGCCAAGACTGTTTCATTTTTATCATTTGAGGGCGTGTTATGCGTATGTGTCGCCCACCCACTGCTTGTATTACTTAACACCTTTCTGTTGTTTCTGCTGAAATTGATCAACAATTGATAAACTGTTTGTGACTTAATAATTGACATCATTACATCTTTACAACAGTCCACACATCTTGAAAGTGATAACTAGTTCATTTCAGTGCTAATTTTCTCCATATGTACTAGAAAAGATATCTTGCCTTGGCATTTTAGCCTTGTAACTGTGAAGCCCTTAGACCTGAGTAATGACCAGCGGGAGCACAGCATCCATCCTCCAAATGCTTTGACTCTTTAATATGACGCTGTTAATAGAGCCTGCAGTTAGAAAAGGTCTTGCATGATGGGCATCTCAGCTCAGTAAACATTGGCTTCTCTCATTTCTTCCCTCATCTTGTGGGTACTTTTACTCTCCTAAAACAGATAGATTTGAAATTGAAGTGCTGCTTCACTGCTTTATGTTGTTATTTCATGTGATTTTAATGTCTTTTCTCTTTTTCTTCGATAGAAAAATGTGATGAAGCTCTGGTCACACCACTCCCCCATAATGCCTTCACCAGCTCCTCTGTGTTCACTAGTGGCTATGCACCTGGATATGCCAAGCTAAACAAAAGAGGAGGTAAATTTTCATTTTTCTTGCTCATATGCATATATTAACACCCACCAATGTGTCATTTGCAGAATGAACAAACCCTTTTTCTTTCATCACAATTCCTCAATGAACACTCTTTGGCCTTTGTTTTTTATGCAAACAATATATTACAAACTTCAATTTCACAGGTGCTCAGACTTGATATAGTTTTGTGTCATTCCAATAAACATTCATACACTATATTATGGCACCGCAGAGTCCTTACTTCAATAACTCCAGCTGGGAATTATTGTGTGAATTACTGGGCTACAACGGCTCATCCCATTATGTCAAACTGTGCTTTGGAAAACACTATGTGCTTAAGACTAATTGAGTGAAAATCTACAACAGATGTGACAATGCTGTGATTTATCTCAGTGATATGTGCACAGTTCACATGTTTATTATTTTCAGTTTGTTCCTCATCACTCACTGAAAATGTTATTTAATTAAAACGGAAGTTTCCGTGTCCTCGTAGGACGTCTCTGATGTTTAGTTTGGCATCTTTGACGGAACTAAATCATATTTGTATTTATTTGTTTATTTTATGAGGGAGAAAGCAGAAAGAAATAAACCACTGCTAATTGTGCGTCAAAAGCATTTTTTGCTTGTTTTTTTGTTGCTGCAATAGGCTCTCATGGGAGAGCAAATTCAGATCCAAATGGATGTCTTATATATGAGCGTCGCTGTGGGAGTTCGTGGGTCTGATTTTAAAGGCTTTAAATTGCATGTTATTTCCAAGCTCAATGAGTCACTGGGCTCTATTATGTACACAAAATATTGTAATATTAATTGGTACTGTAACTATGCCTCGTATTACAAATTCTTCTAAGAGGCACAGTGTAAGCTCCATACAAATCTTTCTTCCTTGAGGAGATACAGTATTGCCTATGCATGAATAAATTGGTGTTCTTGGCATGTCTACATGCATAATTTAGCTCATGTACATACAGTATATGTGGCAGTTTACCTCAAAGGAACAGTTGACCAAAGAATGACCGAAAAATTCTGTCATAGCTTGGCTTGGGTCAGTATTCTGTGATAACTTTTTGCATATTTTATGTAAGGGTGGCAATATATCACTACAAAACTGATTGTTGGCCATCAGACATTTTAGAGATTTATTTATTTATTCATTGATATCAGTGTGGTTATTGAAATAAACTAAAAGCTAAAATAAAATATAAATATTAGATGAAAAAAGACACTTTGCCTTTGAAACGGAACTAAAATGCTAAAATGACTAAAAACAAAAAAAATGAAATGAAAATAAATTAATATTTGAATATATAAAAAATATAATAATAAAATGACTAAAACTTAAGCTAAAGTTAAAATAAAAAATAAAATATTAAATCTAGTTTAGAATATTAATAAACATTATAATAGTATTTAAATAATACTAAAATAACATGGATGATAATATATATCAGCTGATATTGAAAATTTCCTGTTTTCTAATTTAGATGACCTTTGCCATCATCCACCAATTTCTCTTAGAATGCTTTTATAAATTAATTTAAATGTCTTGAAGTTGAAGTTGTTAGTGTATTTGTATTTTTTAATAAAATTATATTTATATTAAATTTTTATAAAATTAGATTTAAATCTTTATTAAATATTTAATTGAATTGTTTTCTATATTATTAATTATTATTTTCTATAGTATTAAATTATGAATTGTTATTATTATATTTAATGTAATTGTTAATGACCATAGAATTCAAAATTGCAACCCACTCATTCCTCAAAATATCTTATTTTGTGTCTAAAGTCTATTTTGAGGATGAGTCAAGGATGACGGAATTATTATTTTTGGGTGAACTATCCCTTCAATGCCCTCTCCCCATAGAACGTACAGTATTTAGTAGAATGGTCTGTTCAACAACTATAAATAGTTGTGTTTTGCTTGGTTTTGTGTAATATAACCAGATTGATTACTTTGTGAGGGACTTAAAAGTTCAGACAGCATAAAGCGACACAAGATTGGCAGGTGGCTGTGATAACAGCAGCTTACAGGTGTGTATAAAGCCAGCATTTCCATTCAGCCACCTTTCTCACTGAAGGCCGGTGGGGTTTGTGGGAATAAGCAATGGGCTATGCCCTCTGGCACTGTCTCCATCAGCGACACAGGGCTCCCTGTCACTCTGAAGCCGCACAGTGGTGTCCAGTGAACATGTTCTCCAGCCTGCCAGTCTGCACACATGAGGCTTCATATCAATGACATGACAGCTTTGTGCACCTCTGAGGTTCTTCTCTTTCAACCCTCGTGTACTTTAGAGACACCTAGGTGAGTAATGTTTGAAAAAACTCTCAGACTTAGTTGTTGTTTTTTTTTATCTGAAGTCATAGTGTCATTTTTTTTCTCAAGTTTCATCAGAGATTTGGATTCTTATTACTGTGAAAGTCATAGGCCATGATGCATGTTAATGACGCCTTATCAGAGTTAAAGAGAGGTTATTTCTGTCACTTGTGTCATTCTTGCCCAGAATTCCCATGCAGATATGCAGTTGCCATCGATCTTGCACAATCTTATTTAGTCATTAAAATTGTGAATAATAGGGTGAAGTATGACATCCTGTCTATGGAGTATGACATTTTTATATATGATAGACTGGGGATTTTTTCCCTTTTTTACTCAATATTATGAATAGCAATGACACTGGGGACCCTCTAATGAAATCCACACCCATACAGCACATGTTCCACTGAAATCACATTGTCAGTTTTTTTTAAATATAATTAGCTTTAGGACATTCGCTGTGACCATTTCCAATGTCACTGGACTAGAGGGCTGAGAAAAGTTGGATTTGACAGCATGTTGGCATCAGAAGTGGCCGGTTGTGCCAGGGTGCGGGTTTGCTGTGGGACCCTGGGTGATGATGTCACAGAGGAAGGCTCATTAGTTCTAGTTAGATGAGCAGTGTCATGAAGGACTATTATAGGTAATGTCCATATGCCAGCATCCAACATTCTGACTCTTATCAATGATGCATTATTTAGCCTTACTAATGTATTTTAAAGATTTCCAGGCTGAATATAGAAGAGGAAAGAGAGAGAGTGAGCACAAAATCCATAGACCAATTTCAGTGTTTGCAAACAGTGATGACGTTTTTGTGGGCGGAACCTATCTGGTGGCAGAAAATGACAGTTTTAACATTTTAAAAAATGTAATTTTGAGTTTATATTTCAAAATTCTGACATTTTCTTGCAATTTGATATTATATCTCACAATTCTGGTAAGAAAATTCAACTCGTCATTCTTTCTTTTTAGTTTATAAACCCACACTTCTGGCTTTTTTTCCTCGGAATTGACAAACTCGAAATTGTTGAGTTGAATCAAGTTATAAAGTCCGAAACTAGGAGATATAAACTTGCATTTGCAAGAAAAAAAAGTCAGAATTGTGAAATAAAATAGTTAAATGTTATGTAAAATGTTATAGGTTTACATAGTATTTCATGCATGTATTTCAACTGTAGGGCTAATACAATATGTCCCCTATATGAATATTATATAGACCTAATGTTTAAATCAAATGTATGCTTTAAAAGTAGGGTAATCATAGCAGGTTTCATCCATAGTTTGTCCGTTTAAAGGTCTGTATTTAGCTTCAAATGGCGTCTTTGACGACAGTATTATATAAAAATTATTTGCATTCTGATTCTGACATCCAACGGCACAACAATTTTTTTCTCTTATTCCATGGATTTTACCCATTTCCCTCCACTTGCTCCCAGTGTTTTTAGGCCACCACAATGCATGTGCAGCTGCAAGTGACGTAACTGTGACGTCTACTCCAAATTGGTCTATAGACCTTTTTAGGGCCGACGTCACAATTACGTCACCACACTGGAGGCAAAACAAAGGGGAAACTGGAGGCGGCCAATTCAAGCCAGCGCAGATTCAGCTACATAAGGAGCTTAAAATATCGTCTTATTGTGATGTTGGGTGCCATCGACGAAGTAGAGGCTCCAATTTGACATTTTAAAGCATACCTGCTGCCACCGCCAGACAAAAAACTGAACGACAGCTGTGGTTAAATGCGATAAAACGAGCGGACTGGACAGAAACGATAGTCAAAAATGTTCGCGTTTGCAGCGCACACTTCTTATCAGAAAAGGTTCAATAAAGTAATGTATTATGGTTTGTGTTACACGTCTAAAGATTTCTTATGCATCTCACGACTATGTCGCGTATGAAATAATGTCTGTGTGCATGTGTGTAAAACAACAAACTGACGATTTATATGCTTAATGATCTGTAATTGTATATACATTGTTGTGATTAATTATGGCTGGAATTTTTAAGAACTTGGTAAGAAAAAAAATAATCAAATACAGAAAGTTCAAAATTAGTTTCTGGAAACTATTTATTTCTAGAAAATATTCTAACGTGAAAAAAAGTGAAAGTGACATACCAAGTTCTTAAAAATGGCTGACCCATACTCAGAATAAGTGCTCTGTATTTATCCCATCCAAAGTGCGCACACACACAGCAGTGAACACACAAACCCCCAGAGCAGTGGGCAGCCATTTTTTGCTGCGGCGCCCAGGGAACTCGAACCCGCAACCTTTGGGTTACAAGTCCGACTCTGTAACCATTAGGCCACGACTTCCCCAACATTTGTGCTACTTCAGGCCACAGCACCTCTTGCAGTCTGTGAACGTGCCACCCTGGATTCAAACCCACGACCTTAAAGGTCCTGAGCCAGCGGCTTAGCAGATTCACATCTTAATTTAAATGTACTGTACACTCTTAAAAATAAAGGTGCTTCAAAAGGTTCTTCAAGCGATGCCATAGAAGAACCATTTTTGGTTCCGTTCACTCTAATGTAGCTGTAAAAATAGTTGCCTGCTGAAAAAAAAAAAGCTAACAAACTTCATAGCTAGGGTTAGTGAAGCGGTCAGGGGAATCTTTCTGCCTCCACCTAAGCTCCGCCCACAGAAAAACATCAAAATGTTTACTGACAGAAAAAGGGTCTATAGAA